ACTGGAAGAGACCTCTGTCTGGAATCCTGGAGAGATGCAGCCAATCAGTGTAGACAATACAGAGCTAGATGGACCAATAAGCTTACTCCGTTTAAGGCAGCTTCCTATGTTCCTGTAAATACCTACACTCATTCTGAACATCAGAAATTAAAGGAACAGGGACTACCTTTAAAATACAGTCGTACCTCGAAAGTCGAATGCCTTGTGAGTCGAACGTTTTTGCTCCTGAACGCCGCAAACCCGGAAGCGAGTGTTCCAGTTTGTGAACGTTCTTTGGAACCCGAACGTCCGACGTGGACGTCCGATGCAGCCAATTGGAAGCCATGCCTTGGTTTCCAAACGTTTTGGAAGTCAAATGGACTTCCAGAACAGATTCCATTCGACTTCTGAGGTACGACTGTACTGTATTTCAAATCTCAATTTTCTAGCAATGCTAGACCAAACAACTAAGGTTTATCAGAGACAGAATATGTGTCAATGTAATTAATACAAAAAAAATTCCTTCCAGTAGCACCTTAAAGACCAACTAAGTTAGTTCTTGGTATGAGCTTTCGTGTGCATGCACACTTCTTCAGAATGTAATTAATAGTAATTGAAGAGGGCACAGGAATGTAGCAAGAGAACCATAGGAGAAGATATTCAAATAATGTAGAGCTGAAGATAGATAAGAATCCCACCACTTCCTTCAGGCCTGGGCTCATTGGCTTATACTTTTGGCAGTGACAGTAACCTCTGCCTGGAGGGAGAACCCACGTCTAGTTCTTACTGAAGCCTCTTCTAATTTTTCACACACAGGAAATATGTTTCTGACCATTTTGGTTACATCAGCACAACACCCTACACTAAAGATCTCCATTTTCTGTCTTTAAATGTTTCGTTCTCCCACAGGACAGCTGTGCAACTCCCAAACAAATACAACCTTCATCCTTCATTTTCTCACCAGCCAACAGCTTCTGTGAATGTAAGCGCAGGGCTGGATGCAAAAGGGTACTCGGCAGCCAAAAGAACAATTAGCCATTTATCAAAAATGTCCCTAAAACAACTCTGCCATTGTAGTCTTAAAGCCTGCTCAGTAACCACTCCTACAGGAGGGCCACTTTAAGAAGGAATGGGGTGGACTAATCCATTCCTCATCATTCAAAGCTTCCTTTTCAGCAGACACCAGTACCACTACCCTGCCTGTGAAACAGCAACTGGCAGACCAGGTAACATCCCTCAGGAGGCCAGATTTGGCCCAGGAGTCTCCAGTTGCTGATCCCCACTTTAAAGAGACCCATCTCAGGAAGGATGCATATTGCCGTCAGCCTCTGATGAAACTTGTGCCTTCACCCTCAAAATTAACTATTTCCTAAGAGACTCATGCAATGCTAGATATAACAAATCCTTTTGACAAGTGTATGAATGCAGGAGGTATTAAACACAAGGAATAGGATCGATGAATGTTCACTCTTCTTTCAGGAAATACTTTTGTCCCCTCAAAATCACTACTTTCAATCTAAGAACATTTGTGAACATTTGGCCCAGTTCTACTTCAAAGTGAGTATGAACAGGGTCAGACTGCAGAAGAACTATGCTACAAAACAGAGGGTCTAGCACAGGGGTCGGCAAGGTTTACCTCGCCTGGCCCAGTTCACTCCAGCAGAGGTCCCTCTGTGGGCTGGATTGCATGCGTGCGTGAGCGCGCACACCCACGATTTCCAGCGTCTGCGCAGACGTGATTTCTGGTGTCTGTGCATGTGCAATTTCAGGCACAGCGGAAGCGAGTCCCTGCGCTGCGCTGGTTTAGTGCAGTGCACAGGGACTCGCCGAGCGGGCGGCTCGTCTCGTGGGCCAGTTAAATGACCCCCGTGGGCCACTTGTGGCCCATGGGCCTTAGGTTGCCTACCCCTGGTCTAGCACTATGTTACAGAATTTGCTACACCAAGATGTGTTTGGAACTGTTTGCAGTTCTTATAGAGTTTACCCACAACACTGAATGCATAAGTGTTTGTGAATGCTGACGAGACGTGCATACGCTGTTGTTTCACAATGCAGCTACACGGAAAAAGAAAACCATCATTCATGAATCAACCTAACCACCTTATTATGTATTCTACTGTGACATAGGTTGCAAGGTGTATGCTGACATAGCAGGACTCTGGTGACTGAAAAGTCATTAAGATGATGCATAAGCCCCAGTCAGTACTCCAGCTGACACCAATCACATCCTTTCTACACTCAGATTCCTTAGGAAATGCAGAGCCTTTAGTTAAATTATTGGGGGACCACAAAAAAAAATGGTTGGGGGCACATTTGGGCCACAGGTTAGTTACTCTGCTTTAATATCTGCAGACAAGAAGGAAAAGCAGCCTTCGCCTGGATCCTGGCTGACGCCAGCCACCCCCTTTCTTCACTCTGCTCTTTCCCCTAGGATGGTGTCACGCTACAAATCCTGCCCTCCACCATCCTTCTTCGCTGAACAGCATTGCGCAATACTGCATCCCCACATTCAGCGACTGTGATCATTATTTGTGCAGTTGCCACACAATGCTAGAGTGACACTGCAATATCCTGGATATGAACTCGATGCTGATACAATGCTACAACTAGCATTAGGCCAACACCAGGGGGGTTGTGCTATATACACAGTGCTGTTGGCACACAACAGCCCCGGTCAGCCCACTTCTCAGTTAAAATCTAAGCAGCTTCAAAAACTTGGCTTAGGGAGGAATTGGATGTTGCATTAGTTGATGGAACAAACCCCCATCTCCTGCCCCCCCCCACTGTTCTGGAGGTTCTTCCAAGCCTCCCCCACAAGTCAATTTGAGGGTGAGGGGGATAAATCCATGTTGGAAGACTCATTAGCTGAATTCCACCTTTGATGTCTAGAACATCCCTTTAAAAATTAAACCTCAAACTGGTTCACCATAGTAAAGCTTTTCATATTCGTCTTGCAAGTGCCAGCTCTCTCATTAATGAAACTCCCAGCTGCCATGTACTAAACAGAAAATTGCACTCCATGTTCAGACTCCTGCAGTACATCGGTCTGATCGACGAGCAACTGTGTGCATTTTAAGCTACGTGCTTTCTCTGTTAAACCTGACAGCCTTGGGTAAATCAAAATTGCTGTCTGCAACCATTATCTCGCCTTGCTTCTTGCTCAATGAACATATTTCCATTAGCCTCAAGTACTGTAACAACCTTAAGTGGTTATTTTGTATACTGTCAGGGACAACAACATATACAACAGAGATGCGCACCTTGCACTTCTAAAAATATGGAATCTTGATACAATTGCAGGGGTGGAGGTGGGGAAAAGAAAAATACTGAGCATGGCTACAGATGCATTGCATTCTTATGCCTGTGCAATGGAACGTTAAAGAGAAGTTTGCAGTATTTGAATTATTAGAACTCATGTGCACACAAACTCTGAAGCCAAGGGATGCATATTCAGTTGTAAAGGAATGCCACCAGATGAGAACTTTGGCTGTGCACTTTGAACGCGGGCTCCTGCATCTTTGTGATGCAGCCTGTTTACATAGATCAAGAGTCATTTGTTGACTGTGGACTTTCCCCGCCCCACACACCCTATAATCACAAAAGAAAACCGCTGATGTAGCGTTCCAACTCATCCCATCTTCCTTCCATGTCACCACTAACATTCCTGTAGCCAGTTCAGATTGCTGCATGCTGAAGTTTGACTGCTTCATGAAATCACTTCATGGGTCCCCAACATTCACTTCCTCGTGGCAATGGTGCAAACTACATGCACCAGCAAGCAGTCAATATCCCAGGCAGACACAGGTGGGGAAACTGGCAACGATCAAGAGTACAAGGGCAAGAGTTACCAGAAGCGGTGAAAGGCAACCATCCCTACTACGTAGCACTTGTAAGGCACTGAACTGGGGATTCTGGCAGCTGGACCCAAGGACACTGGAGGCAGAACACAGCCATCCTGGCTAGTGGCTATTGATAAGTCTTATTCTCCATGAATTTGTCCAGCCTCCTTTTGAAGTTGGGGGTCATCACTAAGCCTGCAGGGGTGAATTCCATAGATTAACTATGTGTTTTGTGAAGCAGTACTCCCTTTTGTTTAACCTGAATTACCGTATTTTTCACCCTATAGGACGCACCGGCCCATAGGATGCACCTAGTTTTTTTGGGGGGGGAAATAAAGGAGGGGGGAATTATCCCCCCCCCAGCCGCGGATATCTGCCCGAAGCGCGGGGCGCTATGCTTCGGCGTGCCCTGTGCTCCGGGCAAGCAGGCTGCTATCTGCAAGCCTTGGGAGCCCGGTGGGAACTCCTGCCGGGCTCCCCAGGCTTGCTGATAGCTTCCTGAAGCCTGGAGAGCGAGAGGGGTCGGTGCGCACAGACCCCTCTCGCTCTCCAAGCTTCAGCGAAAGCCTGCATTCGCCCCATAGGACACACACACATTTCCCCTTCATTTTTGGAGGGGAAAAAGTGCGTCCTATAGGGCGAAAAATACGGTATCCAACGGAGCTGAATGCTGGAAATACTAGGGTTCTAGTATTTATGAGGGAGAGAAAAAGTTCTCTTTCTCCACACCATGCATAACCTCAAATACCTCTATCATGTCTCCCTCCCCTTATTCTTCCCTTTTCCTAAACTAAAAAGCCTCACATGTTGTAACCTTTTCTAGTTGCTCCAGCCCCTTGTTCATTACACCAGCACACTCAGAGATGGCACTGGTGTGGCACCTTGTTGAATCTGCATTCTGTAGCAAACCCACAAATGTGTAAAATGGTCTCCCTAATGTAGGTTCTCTACCCCACTTTATGCTGTTCTGAGCTAATACTCGTGCTCAAGCAGAGTATCTTTTTTTGCCTCTCTAAACAAGCCAGAATTCCCTCATACAAGATCTCTAAGAGTCTAAGGGATCACATAGTGGAGTTTTCCTGTTGAAGGAGTCTTCCTGTGTACGCTTTTCCATATATTTTTATCTGATCTCCCAGAACAATACAGGCAGGTTCCAAACCCCTTTCCCCGACAAAAACTTACCCCATCAGCACTTGCAAAAGACATTCCCAATAGCAGAGGGAGCTATTTGGTCCTGCAACAGTAGGGGTGAGGGTAGGGAAAGGGAAAGAGAGAGAATATACCGTAAATCAGCCCTTTCTGGAGTCTTTCAAGACAGAATAAAAAAGGTGGGAATAATTTGACAGGTCAGCTGACACACTTAAAAATAATAATTACAAAGTGTGTTGTACTTTTAATAGGTGCCTGATAATCAGAAACTGCCTTAAAAAGGCATGCACGTTCTCCAGATCATTTTTATCATTAAAGGAGGAGAATACTGCTGGCACAAATACAAACACATGGAGAATGCTGCTGGCATGTCTAGACATAGGAGCACTTTAGCACTCCAAGCTGCTGAGTGCTGCAAAGCTTACGTGACTCACAGGCCTGTGTAGTTGAAACAAAATACACTTGGGGAAAGTCAATAATCTATTGCATGTTGATGCTACATGTGTCCAATTGAAATATCAATCATTTAGCCCAATTTGCTAGAAACCCACATGGTTTTCATTTTATCTTCAGTATATGCATATGAATTAGAAGAGCTGTATTTATAGCTTTAAAATGTAACAGCCCTCTATTTGTTTTGAATTTAAAATGCTAAAAGCAGTAGATTAAATACACAAATTAATTCAAAAATAACTGTTTTTGCTTTATTTAGCAGGAACAAGCACTAATGTGATATTGTTACGTCTTTGGGAGCTCAGAGTGCAACCTAAGTGTGGATACACATCTATCCAAAAGTAAGCTTTGTTGACTCAAGGGAACTTCCTGTGTGTGTGTTAGATAGAGAGGTATATACAAAAATCCTTAGATGGCAGAAAGACAGGCAAGTATGCATGGGTAAAGAGCAGCTGCAAGGGAACCTGTGGCCTCCAGATGTCATTGGGACTATAACTCTCATCATTCCTGGCCGTTTCCCATACTAGCTGATGGGAGCTGGAGTCCAACAACATCTGTAAGATTGCACTTCCACACCCGTGGTTTAGAATATGATGAAAAGTCAGCCTTGGACATCTTCAAGTTTTTCTGCAACCTTCCCTTGAACAACATCACAAGCTGTGCGCTTCTGAAGGTTGCTTGAGTTTCAGGGACAGCTTGTCAGGTGATGGAGGGAAATGCAGTCACAAAGGGGCTGGGTCTAGATACTTTACTGCAGGCACAAGTGCCCAGGGGCTCCCATGTGCACCCGCTACGCCACTGCTTTCTAAGGTTAACACTTGGCAAGGATCAGCTGCTACACCTTGAAAACCAGCCTTCTGCTGACACCTCCAGCAGTCAGCTCCAGCCACACTAGATGGCACACTTAGGTTTGACAGCAAAGCAGTCAGCTTCATCCAGGGAGCAGCAAGGACAGATATACATATCGGGGTTCCTGAACCAGCTAAGACTTTTCTCTCATGCGCCAAGAAAGTCAGGAATCCCTCTTACAGCTGCTGGTGATGCTCTGTATATCAGGGGTGGGAAACCTGTGGTCCTCCAGATACTGTTGAACTCCCAACTCCCATCAGCCCATAGCTGTCAACGTTTCCCTTTTTTAAAGGGAAATTCCCTTATTCTGAATAGGATTCCTCGCAAGAAAAGGGAAAAGTTGACAGCTATGCATCAGCCCCTGCCATCATAGCCAATGCTCAGAGTCCAAGGGAAACTGTGGTACAACATTTGAAGGGCCAGATTTCCCACCCCTACTGTATATGGAATGCCAATAGCTGCATCTTTCCCCAAGCACCAAAATAGTCCCTTCATGCATAGCACATCAGGAAGAGCAATACCCCACTTCCTCTACTCACCAGAGCACCTTAAGAGACATTGCCTCATTGGCTTAAAACAATCAGCAGGAAACTTGGTGTGTTTATGGCCCAAGTTACGAGGGATTATGACAAGCTTATCTTGTGGCAATATCAAGATAATCACTGAATCTTGCAAAGCAAAAAAAACCAAAACATGGGACTTTTTCTGTAGAACATGAGCTCCTGGAAGCAGCTGAATATATTGACATTATATTGTTTGCCAAAGGGGTGTGCCAGACTTTGAGGCCACCACATCTTCCTTGTCCTGAGTTCTCAGTAGCACCCCACCAAAATATCCTGCTATGCTAAAACATCTTTCCAACAGCAAGTATTTAGAAAGGGCTTCTGTTGCCTTGTAACAGTATGAAAGTTGCATTCAGCACCTTCTCTCCAACCACTGCCACCTGTTCTAATTCTAGGTGCCTGTGTTTTGCTGAATGCATCTATGCCTCAGTCGGTTGCTTTCTGGCCAAGCTGGTTGTGGTGGAGCATTCGCGGCCTACCTTGGCGTTTCTCGTAGGATGGGAAGAGATAATAATTCTCTCTCGTTCTCTTAGTTATACAAATATATATACTAGCAGCACACAGCCCTGCCCCTATGATTAGGCAGAGTTCATCATCCACCTGAGGAAGCAGAAGCTGTGGACGGGGTCAAAGTGTTGGGGAAGACAGAGCTGTGTGCCACATGTCCCAAAACCAGCCTCCTGCCTTCTTATGTAGTGGAGGATGGCCTCCCTGTCTAATTCAAGTGCCAGCCCAGTTGGCTTCTGTACATGGAATGGGGAAGTGACATCTTGTCCATTGCCTCAGGCAGCAAAATGCCTTGGCCCAGCCCTGTTGACTAGTAAACACACAAGAGAAAGATCTTTCTTCTCCACAAAATGATTGCTAGTAGAACCTCACACAATGGTTAGACTCAGCCCTAAAAATTATGCTCATGACATACGGTACGACCCCACACCTCTTAAAAGCTGTTCTTAAGAGGATCACACAAATATTGTAGGGTTTTCTTTTAGAACTACTGACCCATCTTTTTCGTAATGGCTTTATTTTTCTTTGGAAATCGTCATTTAATATGTTGTAATCTGCATGAGTGGTGTACTCGAACAGCGTGCTATAAATGTTCTAATAAATAAATAAAATGAAACATTTTTTCTCTAGCGCTACACTGTGACTTTTAGATATGAGTCTCTAAAAATCACAGTACAAAAATACCCCAGCTTCTGCAAAGCAGCCTTGCGGCTGAACACCAGATGTGTGTAGGAGGATGGAGGCCATTCTGAATAGGAGTACAGGGGGAAGCTGTTTGACAGAAATTATCTAGGGTAGAATCATAGAATTGCAGAGTTGGAAGGGTTCACAAGGGTCATCTAATCCAACCCCTTGCAATGCAGGAGTCTTTTGCCCAATGTCGGCCTCGAACCCACAACCCTGAGATTAAGAGTCTCATGCTGTATCAACTGAACTCTTGCTAGCCACCCTTATACCACTGCCCAATGTTCTGCGGCTCCCACTTCATGAAAAAAGTATTGCATGAGGTGATAAGACTCAAGCATAAAATGCAATTTAAAAGATTCTAAACACAAGGAGAGTGTGTGCTTGGCTTGCAAATGTACATACACACTCCAATACACACCTTAGCACTCTTATAGAAACAGGGTGCAGGGAAAGGCTGTGGCTCAGTGGCAGAGCATGCTTTGTGTGTAGGTTGTAGAAGACCCTGGGTTCAATCTCTGGCATCTCCAGGTAGGGTCAGAAAAGACCCTTCTCTGCCTAAAATCCTTGTCTGGCAAGTGCAGACAATTCTGAGCTACACAGAACAATGGTCATAAGAATAAAAACAATTCTCAATAAAAAAAGCATACATGTCACTTTCAGAGTCTTATTCCACCCTGAGAGAGAAGAGAAATACTTCTCCTGTGTTGGTGTTTACCATTTACAGGTGTGGTTTTTAAATCAGGACTTCCGCTAAAAATGTATGTGTGTATGTTTTAAGCCTGTTCTCTAATTAGAGACACCTTTTTAGTCCTATCAAACAACTCAATTGATAAATCTGATTGAACAATTGAATGGTTAAATCTTCTTCCTTTGCTACTAAAATCCCAACAGTGGGGGCAAGAGTCCTCATGGCCACTACTGTACTAAGCTTTTAAGAAACTGTGGCTGGTCCAAATATACCGTATTTTTCGCACCATAGGACGCACTTTTTCCCTCCTAAAAAGCAAGGGAAAATGTGTGTGCGTCCTATGGAGCGAATCCCGAAGCTTGGGGTGTGCGGAGCTCAGCGCGCCCCAAGCTTCTGGGTGCCGGCAAGGTCTCGCTAGCCCTGGGAGAGCCCCGCGACATCGCGGGGCTCTCCCAGGGCTAGCTAAGCGCTGCGCTAATCCCGAAGCTTGGGGCGTGCGGAGCTCAGCGCGCCCCAAGCTTCTGGGTGCCGGAAAGGTCTCCGCTAGCCGTGGGAGAGCCCCGCGACGTCGCGCGGCTCTCCCACGGCTAGCGGACCGCTGCGCTAATCCCGAAGCTTGGGGCGTGCGGAGCTCAGCGCGCCCCAAGCTTCTGGGTGCCGGAAAGGTCTCGCTAGCCCTGGGAGAGCCCTGCGACGTCACGGGGCTCTCCCAGGGCTAGCGAAGCGCCGCGCTAATCCCGAAGCTTGGGGCGTGCGGAGCTCAGCGCGCCCCAAGCTTCTGGGCGCCAGCAAGGGCTAGCGGAGACCTTGCCGGCGCCCAGAAGCTTGGGGCGCGCTGAGCTCCGCACGCCCCAAGCTTCGGGATTAGCGCTCCGCTAGCCGTGTCTAGGCTGCGGATAGCAGCCTGCTTCCTGGAGCGTCGGGCGCCCTGAAAGCAGAGCTCCAGGCGCTTCGGGAACACATCCGCAGCGTGGGGAGCCTTGCAGGAATTCCCCACAGGGCTCCCCACGCTGCGGATAGCAGCCTGCTGCCTGGCGGGTGGGGCGCCCTGAAGCAGAGCGCCCCTCACGCCAGGCAGACATCCGCAGAGTGGGGAGCCTTGCAGGAGTTCCCCACAGGGCTCCCCACGCTGCGGATAGCAGCCTGCCGCCCGGCGGGTGGGGCGCCCTGAAGCAGAGCGCCCCACGCGCCAGGCAGACATCAGCCAGCCCCACAAGCTCGGGGGACAGCAGGGAGGCGCAGCGCCACTATCCCGCTGTTCCTCGACCTGGTTCGGTTTCCCTGACCTGCTTTTGGGGGGGAAATAAAGGGGAAATTTTTTTCCTTTATTTCCCCCCAAAAAAACTAGGTGCGTCCTATGGTCCAGTGCGTCCAATCGTGCGAAAAATACGGTAGATGCCCCAGTATCACATCTAATTTGGCCCCCAAGCTTCACACACAGAAGCAGGAATTTGAACTTGGGTTTCCCCATGCCCAAGGCCAACACTTTAGCCATTGTGACTACATGACAAAATGAACTGCTCAAAATGAAGGCGAGGTTCTCACTCTCTCTCTCCATCTTCACCCCATAGCTAAGAGGCAAATTCATGAGCTGGGGGGGGGGGGAGGAAGAAGTACATCTTCAGAAGTTGCACATTCTTCTCCCAGGCCCCACACTAGATCACAAGGAGCAAGAAATTAAAAATACACAACTAATCACAAGCAGCAACATGATTTTTCAAAGCCTGAAGGAATTTCAGAATACTTTAAAAACTTGAACTAGAGAGAGATGATTAAGCCCATTCATCTTTAGTGAAGGGAGTGCCTGTGTACACTAACAATATAGCTTTAGAGACATGCCATCTTGTGAATTGACCTTGCAAACCACAGATTTTTACATGCAGAGCAGGATACTCTCTCTCTCTTTAAAAAAAATGCATGAGGTTTCTGGCAGTTTCAAAAGGCCAGTGAAATTGTACCTGCCCTACAGGGATATGAATAAGCTAAAAAAATAATCCAACAAACATCCTTGTCCTGCAAGCTTTTGTAAAGCACATGAGAATGTATGCATTTTTGAGCACCCCCCCCCAGGCAAGACTGATATTAACCAATATCTTTAAGGAACGCTTCTAATCACAATACAAAGATCTCTTGAGAAACCCTTGACCCCATTGTTCAAAGTTCCTCTTAAATACAAACCATGAAGTTGGAAGGGAGCCACCTGGACCTGTGGCTTAGTCCAGCATTCTGGCACAAGTCAGGGCAATTAACATAACAACAATATACCCCTTACAGATCAACCCATGCAACTCAGCCCCAAGTTGTCCGGAACTGCAAGTGGGAAGAGCAGTGTTGCACTTAAGTCAGCTTGTGACTTAAGCACCTCTTGGTTGACCACAGCAAGAACAGAGTGCCTCGCTGGGCCTCTGGCCTGATCCAGCAGGACTCTTATGTTCTTAAGTGTGTCACAATCTCCTAGCAGATGCTCTGGTGGGGAAAATCTGTTCTGGGGGGAGTCATCTCCAGATGGCACAAGACAGCCAGCCAAGCCATGTGTTAAAAGAAAGGCAAAACTAGCACAACATACAGACAAATGAGGGGTGAGAAACAGGGATCGTGCTCAAAGCAGTAAATCAGCTTGGAAATTTACTTGGGTGGGGAAGGGGTCCAAGCTAGAAAGCAGATATATGAGTCTTGCCAGCTGAAAGGCAAAGAATTATTTCAGTCTTTTCTGTTATGAAGTACAGTGGTACTTCGGTTTACTAACTTAATCCGTTCTGGAAGTCTGTTCTTAAACCAAACAGTTCTTAAACCGAGGCGCACTTTCCCTAATGAGGCCTCCCGCTGCTGGTGCCCTTCCACCATTCGGCTTCCGTTCTTCGATCGAGGTAAAGTTCGTAAACCGGGACACTACTTCCGGTTTTGCAGAGTTCTTAAACCGAATAGTTTGTAAACAGGGGTGTTCTTAAACCGAGGTACCACTATAGCTGCATGGGCAAGGGTAGTCTTCAATTTGGATTCATAATGCACTTTTGCTGAGCTGGATGAACTGCTTGCAGCTTCTCTTACAAACAATACTTTCTGTGTACACAGGCAATCCTACTTTGTCATCACTCAAATGCATATTGACATTCCTGGATAGAAATGCAGCCAATCAAAGATGTAGCCAGCAGGAATTCCCACAATTACATCAATCCTCCAATCAGAAACTGTTGCCAATTGAACCTGTGTTACATTCACCCATGTGCAAATTCCACAGATCCCCTGCCCTGATTCTATGCCATTAGATAAATTACTGTATGAACGTACAAGAACACAAAACCAATATGGTTACTGTACCTCATTAAGTTTTCAATGGAATGCAAAATCAAAATCTATGATCATAGGACCACTATACACCCTAAACACTGAACTCAGAATTAAAAAGGAAGTATCATCCAGACAGGCTTGTGGCAAAATGCTTGCAAATTGGCCACAAAGCATTGTACTCTAGGCACTGGTTGGTAGCCCCATTATCAGTTTTGGGATACCAGTCTGCACAGCAGATTGAGTCAACTGCAGCACCTGTGCAGAAAAATAATAAATGTACTGGTTCAGACTGGCCACAATTTATAAAATTTTGGATAAAACATCACAAGTTAGAATTCAGTGAAGTATTACTATACAAACTAGAATTCTAAATGCAATCCTATTATATCTGACCATATAATTCCACTTATATACAGTCAATTCATTTAAAGAGATACAGCATGCAATCTGTGCTATGTCTTTAAAAATCAAGTTTAAAGAGAGAACATGCCTGAAAGAAAAAGAAAATCAAGAACCCTTCCCTGAGTGTCATTGTATTTATCTTCTAAATTTTCTTTAACAGCCAACTTCTCCAGGCCACTTAAATTAGGTGAAGCAGAGTAAATGTCAACAACCAAAATGTCTTTTTATCAGGCCAACCTGTTATCCACAGGGAATAAAAATAAGTTGGATAAGGTAACATTTCACCTGTATAAGACAGACCTGTGATTTCAAATGCTACTTTTAGAGTTGCAGTGACACACTTTTGAGCCAGTGCAAAAATGCTCACTCAGCAGCTGGGGGCAGTCTGCAGGCCTGTCATCCTCTTCCCCCAAAATCGCATTCCTCCTTCCCCCGCCCAGCACTTTTTGAAGGAACTTCTTTTCATAAAAGGCGGGGGGGGGGAGTGGGAGGAAAGGTGGGGAGAGAAGCGAAAGGAGCTGCACTCCTGTACCCCAGAGCAGGAAAGGAAAGGCCGGCTTGCGGCTGTGCCAAACCACGCTTGAACTCCAACCCTCAGCCAGCGCAGGAATGGCATGGTACAAACTCCAAGAGCACCATCCACGCAGGAGGGAAACGGGGAGCCAGCCGAGCAAAGCTGAGTCAGGGGGCAGGTGGCACTTCGCAAGCAGACGAGGCGCTCGCTTAAAGGACACGGGATCCCCCGCCCCACAAAAAAAGCAGCAGCCCTGGCAGGGGCGAGGGCTCGCCTTTCCGGGGTTGGGCTCTCGAGCCCACTCAAACTTGGCAGGGCACCACCAGCCCCCAGTCACGCCGGCCGACACCCCCCCCCGCCCCACCTGAGCTCCCACAGGTTGCAAAGCCGGAGAGTAGCTACGCGCCCCGCGGAAAGAACCCGAAGGAAGAAGAGGCCATTACCCTCCCCGGAGCAGCCACATCCCACCTCCGCCCTCCGGGCCGCGAAAGCTGATGGAAAGAGAGGCGGCAGCGGCAGCCCCCACCGCTGCGGGCCCGCCACATGCCTCCGCAAAGCTCCGCCCCCGGCTCCCCCTCAGCCCCGCCCGCGGGCGGGACGGCCGCGCCCACGGGCCCTATCAGCAGTGGCGCCGTCCGCCGCAAAGGCCCGCCCACCTCCCACGGCCCCGCCCCCTCGCGTCCTCCCATCCCTGGCCCGTGCTTCTCGAGCGAGGACGTCATCAGGCAGAACCCGGAAGCCCCGGCTTCCGCGGATGGACATTCTGCTCCCGCCTCCCCCCTCCTGCCAGCTCCTTCGCTGCCTCTCCATTCACCAGTCGCGTTCCCTGACGTAGAAGCGCCGCGTTTCGTAATGTAGGGGGTGTCGCTTTAGGAGTCGGTCCCTGTAGGCTCTGCCCTTGCCCGGCTGCTCAGTGTCAGCGGCCGCTTCTTCAGCTCGCGCGGGAGGCGGGCGGCTGCTGCGCCTTTTGCGTGGCTTAATGTTGGGGATAAAGCGGCTTTTTGCTGTTAGGGAGCGGAAAAGAGAGGAGCAGCATTTCCATGCCCAACTCTATTAGATGTTTATTTACGCAACGTTTTTTAATCCTAATCTTGAAGGATTGTGGCTTCTTTCCACGAGCACAGCGTTTAAAGTCCCATCATTCGAGCATTATCGAAAATGTACAGTATCTAAATCCACGTAGAATCAAATCCGCCTTAACGACTTTTAAATCCATGGCACTGGTTTATTTATTTTCTGCTTCTCCTGCACGATTAGTGTAATTATATAACGTATAAAGACTGGGATTTTGTTGTTCAGAATATAAAAGCAATGTTACTCTAAGGGCAGACCTGTGGTTCAACTAAAAGCGTGGGCCGAGAATCTCCTGTTCTCTATTTTGCAGAACAATCTCGCATCCTTGAATACACAAAGTATAGATTTAGTTCTCTCTAGGAGGGAGAAAGACAAATCCAGTGGTACTTACTGCTGTTAATTTAAGGAGGCCAGAATCCTGTTTGTAAATAGTTATAGTAAGGAAGAATTGAACCAAAAAGTTCTGTTCGTTATTTTCTTGAAGCAACATTTAGCCTCTTCCATTTGTCGTCCTTTACTTTAAAAAAAAATGGTCATAAATTTCGTAGATGTGTTGGAGTCCTTGGGTGCATTTGTGCCAGGGCTGGATTAACCATTAAGCAAAATGAGCACATGCTTAGGGCATCAAGAGATGGGGAGTACCACAGAAATTTTCCATTGCTGGATTTTTAACATTAATGGTCATAAATTGCTCAGCTGACCATTCATTTTCTCAGCTGAAGTACCGGTATATTAAGAATCCCAGCAGAACAGCTATGCAACAAGGCAGGCTGGATGCCTTATCTAAACTTATGTAACACATCTTCTATACTTAGTAGAGATAGTTTTGAGGATCTGATCAAAGACTTTGCAATTGGAAAAAAGAGAAAAAAATCCAAATATAAAGTGGAAGTATATTGTTTATATTTTGAATTAGATATATATGTGGGGACACCAACATCTTAATTGCTTAGGTCCTCTAAAGGTTTTAATCTGGCCCTGATTTGTGCCAAACCTTGGACTCCAACCTATCACATGCCTAGATACTTGGGTCATGCTACATGTGTGTATAAGCTGGGGTTTGACAGAGACGAGCAAGCTACTTTGGTCTTGAGAGAGACAGATAAGATGGATTCAAAAAAATATTTGCTTTTGATGTTCCAAAGCGCTGAGAGCCAGTGTGGTGTAGTGGTTAAGAGCAGTGGACTCGTAATCTGGTGAACCGGGTTCGCTTCTCTGCTCCTCCACATGCAGCTGCTGGGTGACCATGGGCTAGCACATTTCTCTGAAGTCTCTCAGCCTCACTCACCTCACAGAGTGTTTGCTATGGGGGAGGAAGGGAAAGGAGATTGTTAGCCGCTTTGAGACTCCTTGGGGTAGTGATAAAGCGGGATATCAAGTCCAAACTCCTCCTCTTCTTCTCTTCTCCTGTTAAGCTTAGAGGGAATGTAGGGGGTGTGGAAGCACAGCTGGTAGTTGTAGAAGGAAAATTATTTACCCTCTTATGTTAAACTGTCATCTAATCTGATTGTTTTTTTACTTTTTTGTTTGCTGTGCTTCTGCCTGCTGGCAGCTGTTTTGCTGATTTTGTCTATTTTTGTCTTATTGGAGTGACTTTTTGCAAACTGCATTTGGCTTTTTAAATAGAAGAGCATCATATAAATAAATACAAATAAAGTTGATAGATACCTTGAAAAATAGACAATTGTTCCATTCCTCAGTATTTTTATGGCATAGGTTGGGACGGGGTTGTAATGAGTTGCCTTTGTTTGCTTGACCTATGTAAGGCTTGCGGTGGCAAGAGTCATAAGACCTTTGCCTCCCCATATGCTTATTCTTTTAGAAAGGTTTGCCCATTAGTAATGAGGAAGGGGTAACATTGTTTGTTTAGGTCTGTTTCTTGAAATTGTTTTGACTTGAAACTCTTTAAAATCATAATCTAGGTGAAGCTTTCTGCAAGGCATTTGACTGGCTATAATAACTCATATTGCTTCCATAACCTGTATTCTGACCTCTTAGAATAACCTGCAACAGAGACTTTAGGTCTATATTAAGATCATGTGTGGGTGGGCCAGTTCCAGAACTGGGTGGACAAATTGTAAATAGGGCTGCAGAGTTCTCGTTGTGCTATTTCTTTACTTTTTATCTGCAAACATTTTTTGGGACAGGAAATGCATTGTCTGCCAACCTTCACTGTCCTCAGAAAGCCATCCAGTGAACCCAGAGCCCGTTATTTATCCCGACAATTTAAGAACTTCAGTAGAATAAGAGGACTTTAGGCTGCACACCTATACTCTCTTACCTGGGAGAGATAGGGATATGATCACCACATGCAAAGAAAAGGCTATTTCAGTTTGTGGGAGCAACATGAGTACTATTTAAACCCCAATGAAGTATGTCACTCTAAAATGGGGGGACGGGACAGAACCAAAGGACGCTAAAGTCAATCATATCTAATTTAGAGGTCTGTAAAATAAATAGCAGGATCTGGATTAATGTGGCACCCAACCACCTGTTTCTTTTAAAAAAGAAGCAGCAGCAGCAGACCAGTTGAAGTTTTACATTTCGGATGGATAGCATATTTTTTTCTGAAATAAAGCCACAGAAGTGAGAGGAAGCCAAGGTGGAACCTTTCAACAAACAACTGTGGTGGAGGATGCAGTGACTGTCTCAATGGGATTGTCTCTTGCAAGAAGAAGCAGCCCCAGGGAGCAACCAGAGCAGTAGCAGGGAACTTTTAAAAAAACATGTCTCATTCTTATAAGGTTGCAAAGTACTTGGAGCAATGCCTGAGGATATATCTGAAAATGAGGAGTGTGTGTTTATGGGGGAAGAGACAGTCTTTCCATTGGTCAGGGCTGGGTAGCCAACATGGTGCCCTCTGGACAGTGTTGGACTACAGCTCCCATCATCCTTGATCACTATTATCCTAGCTGGGCTGAAGGGAGTTGTAGTCCAACAATGTCCGGAAGGCACCATGTTGGCTACCCCTCGGTTAGGGGCGGTGCTTCACTCCCCTGCCTACTTCTCTGCACATGCCCCCCATGACTTGGAGAGGTGGAATAAATTACGGAAAACAAACTAGATTCGTGAAAGGAACCTCTGCTTCTAACCTCAGATATGTTTATGTAGCTCCAGTGTCTAGTTCCAGCTGGCCCAATAATAGTTCCTTTATATAAGTCGCAGTGGCTCTGATGATTTGTGGGCATCATGCTGACAAAGGAAGCAGCTGCTGTGCATCCTGCCTGGTTCATCCATGGCTGGTTCATCCTATTCCCTTGGCTGCTGTGGCCAGCATGTTTCTAATTCTCCCTCCCAACATGTAGGGGAGAAGCTTGGGAAAGGGGAGCCATGAAACAACAGGGTGGAAGGCACAGCAGTAGGACATTCTTTCAGTGCCTTGGAGATCTAAAAAAATACAATCCTTGCCTTTCTGGACATGCATTGTACCCAAGAGTGAAAATGGGTAATACATTTGGCAAGCTGAGTCAAGGCCTATTTAAAGCACCATGATCAATCCAGGAAAAATCCCAGGGTCTATGCATCCCCATGGAAAAGTCCCTGTGCCAGAAGCAATAACTGGCATCAATTAGGTTCAGCATTCCCACCCATCGAGGTTTTTTGGTGTGGGTTTTATTATTATTATTTTTGCCATTTATGCAAAGTTACTGTACCATGTACAGCAAATAAGAAGCAGCCCAACTCCAATCCTGCAAAGAAGGCGGGGTGAAAAGGACAAAAGATGTACTGTTCTGAGAGTTAGAATGTCAGAAATAGAAATGACAGGGCGTTGCAAAGGAATGGAACTGCTCAGAAGTGTTGGGTGATGTTTCCCTGAGTTGCTGTTAACCTGTCAGATTCCTTGGGATAACTTGCAATTTATAGCACTGTATAAATGAAGCTTAAATTAGAGGAGCTGGGGATAGTGATTTTTTTCTGCTGAAAACTAGGGCACTTTAAAATTGTGCAGGCCTGTCCAACCAGTTGATTGTGATCTACCGGTCAATCGCAAGCTGCCCCTGCCCCCCCAAAAGCTCAATAACTCTGGTCAATCCAATGGGTAGATCACTGCCAGTTTATTCATAGTAGGAGTAGATCGCATTCTCTTGGAAGTTGGACACCCCTGCTAGTGTATTGGTAGCAGGGCTTTGCTTAAAGCTGAAAAGAGGTCTAGAAATGCATACATCTTATAATAATAATAATAATAATTTATTATTTGTACCCCGCCCATCTGGCTGGGTTTCCCCAGCCACTCTGGGCGGCTTCCATAGAAACCAAAAAACACTAAAATATCATACATTAAAAACTTCCCTGAGCAGGGCTGCCTTAAGATGTCTTCTGAATGTCAGGTAGTTGTTTATCGTTTTGACATCTGATGGGAGGGCGTTCCACAGGGCGGGCGCCACTACCGAAAAGGCCCTCTGCCTGGTTCCCTGTAGCTTTGCTTCTCGCAATGAGGGAACCGCCAGAAGGCCCTCGACGCTGGACCTCAGCGTCCGGGCAGAACGATGGGGGTGGAGACGCTCCTTCAGGTATCTTCTGCCATAGCTGTCCTTTGAGAAGATGCAGTGGTATATATGGCAGGCTTGTGTTACCAGCATACATAGTTCAGGCAAGGGAGGGGGCCTGTGGGGGACCTTGGAGCCATGAAGTATAGAACAGCCAAGACAATCAGAACATGTGAAATTGATTAAATTGACCCTAACTTTAAGGCCCATTAGCATCAGGACCATTAACAACAGGACCTACTGAATAGGAGTTTGCGTTGCTAAAGCCATGTTAATGAAAGTCAATCTTACTCAGCTACGAGTGATCACCAAAGAAAAAGAAGCATTTCCCTTCCCCCCCCTCAAATGTACATTGAAATAAACGCGAGTGCAGTCATCGCCGCACATTAATTTTCCAGTATCCTCTTCTCCAAAGATAACCTGTCCGTAGGGACACGGGAGTGGCTGAACAGCATAGAACAGTTTTAAAACCAAACATGAAAAAACTGGGAAGGCTGTATAAATTTATAATGAATCTGATTCATGAAGAATGAATATGATTTAAGAACTCATAGTTATTTGTAAAAATACAAATATTACTTACTGATGTTTATTGAAATATCCTCTGGAATACCAACCAAAAACATTATGTGTGTGAAAATACCAACAACAGCAACAACAGCAATAATATCAGGAAGGATTTATTAGTACTATATTATTTTTATTTATTTAAATAAGAAAACAAGGGAGAAACTACCATGAGAATGGAGCAAGTTTGCTATGGAAGCACTTGGGACAAAGGAATGAGCGGAGTCACACAATAGTACTTTGTGACCAGAACAAAGAGAAGCAGTACAGCATTCACAATAGCAAGTAGAATTATGACATAGTCTCGAAAATGTTACATTCATATTTTGGTACATGCAGACCCACAATGAGCAGACACTGCTGCTTAAAAAAAATAAAAATCACACATACTTCTATTCCTCCTTTTCCAGAAAATTAAGCCTGGAACTTGAATGAGCTGATTATCTTCTGAACTATCCTGGTATCTTAATATTGTTAGTTATCTGTACTGTTATATGTATTGATCAGCTTGGCAAAGGCATTTTCCCTGCAAGTAAATTACCGTTCTCAGACAATCCAATAAAGATACTACAAAATAAATGATCATATCCTTCCTGCCCAAACAGGCCTTAGGTTGACTTATGTTACAGTCTTGTGCCAACATCTAGAAATAATAACTCAGAAGCCACAAGCTTCCTACCCCAGAAGCAGAACAAAGCAGGGAGGGTGGGAGAACAAGACCCCTTTGTCGTTTATTTCAAAGCACCACGTGCATCTGGTCTGATTACTTATTCACTTCCCTGCCCCCAAGTGGTGACAGGAAAAATTCTTGGATGCTTTGCAAGATAATCTAAACTGGCATTACATCCTGTGAGACAAAGCAAGCAGCTGCCGCTGAAAGACCACTCCATCCCTCCTGCCTCGACCCAGCCCCCTTAGCTCAGATCACAATCAAAGTAAGGTAAAGGAGAGGAACGATTTTGCCAGGAGTGCACCTCACAAAATCTCCTTCCCCTTCCCTAGCGGACCTCTGAAATTGGCCAGTGAAAACACACTCCAGAAGGTGAGCAAAGGATTGTTTCCAATCTAAAGTGAACCATTGAACAGAAAAAGACAGGAAGGAATGGTGGTAGACGGTAGGTTCGTTTTAGGTTTTGTTCTTCATTTCTTTTTCTTTTTGGCCCCTTGACTGTTTACAACGGGTGAGTGGAGACTTCACTTTGGCTGCATTCACACTGTAGTTTATTCCATTTTCACGTTAATGCTGCTGAACTTAGAGGAGGGAAGCTTTTCAAAGTAGTCAGAAACGTGGCACGGCAATAGTTTCACAGAGAGCAGGAGAAACCTCTCACTGACATCATGCTACAAGTTGTGTGGAGATCACAGGCTGCCTGGGCAACATGCCATGCTGGGCAGGGAACCTCCATTGGCAGGAGACCAGGTATATTTGAACTGTAGTAAATGGATGTGTATGGGAGATAGATGGAGCATTTAAACCTTAACAACAAAAACCTTCTGTTGATGTTCCCATTTCATTTGCTCACCGCCTGAAATTCCAGTAATAAATTTACCAGGCAAATATCACAAGTGACAGGTTTACACATCATAATGCCACACCTCTGTGTGACCCATGAGGTTTTTTTTGGGGGGTGAGGGAGCCACATTTAGCAGTAAACAAAGTATTTCCAACTTTCTTGCCATCCTCCCTTCCCTGGGCTGAGAAGAGTACTGTTCAGGTTGTGCTCTTCTTGTCCTGCTCAAATAGCCTTTAAAAATAAGCCCAAAACAAATGATTTGCCCAGATGTGGAAAATCCAAACTACAGGACTTAAAGGCGTCATTGTGAAATTAACTAGGGCATACTATGCTTGTGTGTGTGTGTGTGTGTGTGTGTGTGTGTGTGTGTTCTTTTGAACCTTGTTGAACCTTGAGGCTGACTATAGAACTTAATTCCTTCAGACAGCGGCCTTCCTCCAGCAGCTTGCAAGAGGTACTAGCTTCCCTGCATGCCTGAAAAGATGTGGTCGAATGCCTGTTGAGCAACATATCAAATCCAATAGAATAATGCAAAGCTATATGAATAAAACCATTGCTGCCCTTTGCCTTAACTGTTTGTTTAAGCTTTCTTTCTTTGTGGTGTCCTATGGAAATGTCTTGCTCCTCTGGCCAGCTTAGCAAAAGGAAAATGCTTGGCTGCCAGGATGCAAAGTGTTTAAGACTTCGACTTAATTAAGGCCAGGGTTGCCATTGCAAACCACAGCAGGGCAGTTAGTTGCTAGAGAGGTCAACATTTCACCTGGAGCTGTTCAAGGGTTTGAACCAGGGGTCAGCAAACTTCCGCGTCTCGGGCCGGTGTCTCCAGCACCTATCGTGCGGCGGGCCGGAGGGCGGGGGAGCGCGTGCTCATACACTATTTCGGGCACACTTCCATGTCAGAGGAGCACCGGAAATAGCTTGTGTGCATGTGCACAGGCCTCCTCCAACCTGGATGTGCACCGAAAATAACGCACGTGCACAAATAACGCTTGTGCATGCGCAAATAATGCTTGCACATGCGCACAAGCTATTTCTGGTGCTCCTCTGACCCGGAAGTGGACAGCTGCACACCGCAGTGCTGGTAAGAGTGGGCGGTGGCAGCAGGCAGCGGGGGTTGCCGCGGGCCGGATAAACAAGTCTCTCGGGCCTTATCCAGCCCAAGGACCTTAGTTTGGGGACCCCTGGCATGAATCTCACCAGGTGACCTTGAGCCAGGTTATCTCTCTTGGCTCTAATACACGACATTGGTTGTTCTAAGGTTAAAACCTGAGAGAATCCTGTGCATGCTGGAGGAAATAAATGGGTACAATGGTGACAAATGAGCAAATGATGCTGTTGACAACATTAAGCTTTAATTGAATTTAACTTCCAAGCAAGGGTTTTGGGAATCAAAATTTAAGACTGATCAAGAGTAGGCTTTTTTTCATTCATTCATTCATTCATTCTTTTTTTTTTTGTATTAAAACCAATGCCTGCATGCAAATGGGGCACTCAAAGAATGTATTCAAACAAAAAATGTTTCAGTAATCCACACTATTAAAAAGTTCTGATGTGAGGGTGCAAAGAGACACGCAGGGTCATAGGGAAACGGCATGCAGCCTTTGTGTCACATCAGAAATGAAAGCATCAAGTTGCGTGAAAACCACTACAAGACCTGCTCTTCCGCACCTTCCCTTCCAAAGGAAAACAAACAAACCATCTGCCTGCCTCTTCAGAAATGGTGCTTAGCTCTAATTTGTAGTTGTGGCTGTTTTAATTAAGATTTCATTTTACTTACGTTTGTTTCCTGCCTAAGGCTCAGCATGGGTAATGGTGCTTTAAACCAGACAAATATATAAAATACAAAACCACAACCATCTCCCTAGTTATTTCAACACAGACACCAAATGCCACTCCATATAAGAGCAGCAATACGTACTGCCCAAAAACAACGAAGGGTCACTTCCCCTGCCAGACAGCAGCATCTCATTCTTTTCCCCCATCAACTAATGGTGGAGAAACACACAGTAATATCACAATATGGGGTAAGTGATCCCTCATTTTCTTGCCTTGCCCATCATTGTTTAGGTGCAGGCACTGTGTCCAGATGTTAGCTCTGTTTTGTACTGTGTCTTCTAGACAAGGCTATGTCCTAAGGCAAGAAAGTGACGCTGATTTGGATTCAGCTCCTCCTCTTGCCTTTACATGTTTCAGTTTCCATCTTCCTGTTCTGGAAAAGGTTGCTTTCTACCTGCTCTCGTGACACAGGCTATGTACCTTTAACAGTTGCCCTCGAGCCTGATTTCATTCCTGCAAGTTATCCATCCATAGAGGGATGGAGAAAGCTAAACCTACTGGATTTCTGTGTGCCATGCAGCTGGTGTGTGTGTGTGTGTGTGTGTGTGTGTGATGCAGCTGTTAAAAATGCAAAGTCTCTGTAAGGAAAAATGTGGGAATGGCACTCCGGAACTCTGAGCTCTGTGTTATGCTAGGAAGCAGTATTTATGAATCCTTTTCCTTTGGATAGGGTTGCCAGATTCATTAAGGGGCAAGGCTTCTGTGCCAATAGAAAGATAAATTTTTTTGGCACAGCCAGCTTCTCTCACCATTGCAGTGCTGTGATGGATGAAGCAGTAATTATTCTTGATCACAAGGCAAGAGTGAATCCATTTTGCCATACCACTCACTATGTATCAGGTGAGGGTGAGATCCAAAAGCTGGGTCTGGACACAGAATTGCCAGACTGCATGTGGAACAAGGCTCATGTCTTCTGCACTCATTGTATTTTTAAAGCGTATACCTCAAAATTGCTCAGTGTTCATGTGACCAGCAAGCGATTGCAGGCAAGTGCCTTCCACAGGTACCCTCACCACAGAGCTTAGATCAGAGGTGAGGAACCTGGGATTGATGGGAGGTGGAGTCCAACAGCAACTTACAGAGGCTTGCAGGTTCCCCAGCCCTGGCTTAGATTGTTTGTTGAGTGTAGCTCTGTGACATGAAGACCACACAGAATTTCAGAATTAAGTAACTCCTTGCCTGTCATGAGGCAGCAGTATGTAGTTGCCATTATGCACAAGTCTGTGCTCAGAGCACACTGCCAATAACCTATATTTAGTACAGGTGGTGGTGGCATACATAAGGCCTGATCCTTTTTTGTGGTGGCACCAGCACATGTTCAGCTCCATCTCAGTACTGGGCAGAGAGCCAGATAAGACAGCATTTCTAGCAGCTGTTGTGTGGTCCTGTGAATCAGCCTTTTATTCCCCATGAATCAGGAATGGTCCATGACGATACTGGCAGGGCGAGGGCAGGTTGTACTAATTGGTTGCATGAAACCCAAATGTCTTCCCTCCATCTAATGCTTTTGGTTCTGTTCATTTTTCAATGTGCTTTGGAAGTTGACCTCTACCAGCACATGCCATACTGGTCCAGCCAATACTCATCTAAACCATTTAAAGAATTTGGTACACACACAAATATCTGCACCAATGCCACATGCCATTTAATGCTGTTTGATCTACTTTTACAATGCTGTTTGGAAGCCATGTGTGTCTCCTCTTCAACCATATGCCTACCCTAGTATTCAAAGGGGGCCAGCGTGATTATTATTGTTTATTATTTTGTTTATTAATCACTTCCCATCAAGCATCCTGAAGCAATTTAAAATATAATAAAAACATATACAAAACAGCTGTGTGGCTGTGTGTGTGTGTGTGTGTGTTTGAAACAACTGCATATATAAATTTAAAGAAAAAAACAATCATTTACAACACACACACACACACACACACACACACACACGAGTGTTAACAACAGCACATATATTACCGTATTTTTCGCTCTATAGGATGCACCAGACCACAAGATGCACCTAGTTTTTGGAGGAGGAAAACAAGAAAAAAAATATTCTGAATCCCAGAAGCCAGAAGAGCAAGAGGGATCGCTGTGCAGTGAAAGCAGCAATCCCTCTTGCTGTTCTGGCTTCTGTGATAGCTGTGCAGTCTGCATTTGCTCCATAAGACGCACACACATTTCCCCTTACTTTTTAGGAGGGAAAAAGTGAGTCTTATAGAGCAAAAAATACAGTAAATCAATTCAAATCCTATATGGATACTAGCTGGGATAATGATCTCTATATTTCTGTATCTACCTTCCAGCAGCTTGCCTACCTGTTAAATCTGGTCAGGATATTGTGCCATATTTGGAAACCTGCATTTATAAGGCACAAAGTTTAAAATAAATCTGAGGGCACATATTTATTTGCGGCCTGGATACCCTTTGAATTTTAACCTGGCAAACATTGCACTGGAGGGATATCCGATGCCTGTTGTGTCTACAACAATGTTTATCAGAGCACAGTCCTTGCTCAGTGGTAGAGTGTGGGTGGGAATACAAGTTGATGCCACTTTTGGCACCAAATCAACTTCCTCTTGCATGAGTAAGAGAGAGCAAGAAACCAAAGCAGAACAATCACAATCCAGGGAGCGGTAGTTCTTTTCCCTCTCTGCTTAGCAGAGTGGTTGGTTTCCCTTATTCACTGACTCCAAGAGGGCAGGTGAAAAAGTCTACAGGCCCCCTGCACATTTAACAATAGTGCAGAAGAGGAAATGTCAACAGCTGTA